CGGCCGCCCATCGTGCAGCATCATCAGGAAAGGATTGCTCCTTTGACCGGGCAGTCTCTTCAGCTTGGGCCAAGGCATCCTCCAGCTCTACCAACTTCCTCTTCGCCTCCACCAGGTTGGCTCTTTCCTCGTCTAGCCTGGCCCTCTCTTCCTTCAGCTCCTCTTCAAGTCTCTTCTCCCTCTCGGCCCGGTCATTGATCTCCAACTTGGCAGAATCAAGAAGGAGGGTAAGTTCGGAGACCTGGTCCTTGGACTCCAGGAGTGACCGGCCAACTTCTTCGGATAGAACTCCAACCTGGAAAACAAGCTTGTCAGTAAAAGCAAAGGAAGTAATTAAACTGGGAGGAGAATCAGAGTTGGTACCTTGCTGAGTTTCTGGGCCAAGGATAAAAATGTCACTTCAATGGACTCCCCTTCTAGATCTGATAGCCTGACCTTCTTCCTCTTTTCCCCCCTAGAAGTCTTGTGAGAACTCTTCCTTTTCTGAGAAGAAGAATGACCGGTCCCCTTCCCTTTGGCCTTGGCATCCTTCTTGGGATAAGGGACCCGGTCACTTTCGGAGAGATGGGTGGCTGGAGGAGAGTTCAGTTTTTGGCTCTGGATAGGGCTACACCGGGCACTTGTGGCCCCATCCATTCCAGGAGAGTTAGAGAGAGGAGACCGGTTGGAGTGGAGGACTTAGACATCATCGTCGTCATCCTCAATGATGGTGGTCATCCTGTTGAAGTTCATGTCTGCCAAAGAGAACAAAGTAACCGGTTAGATTTTACACCTTATCAAAATGAAAGTGGAATCAAAAGGTTGAGGAAAATTAACCAACCTGGATGAGGAGAGCCGTCCTCAGCGTGACCATCCGGGGAATCAGCCCGGTTATCCTCAGCGTCATGGGTCGCAGACGCACCCCCATCCGGGTTAGATAGCCGGAATACCCAGCCTCCATAGGCATAAGGTTTCCCGGTCACAGGATCACCCTTGAGAAGTTTCTCGCAGGCGTCCTCAAGATCTTTGGTGGGCTCCGGATGAACCCTTTCAGGTTTTATAACCCGGTCAGCCCACTCAGAGTTAGGGAAAGGAAATTGGTCAGGGGGGAATTCAACAAAAACAAATCTTTTCTTCCATCTTTTATGGCTAGGGGGAAGACCGGTCACAAAACTCCTCTTATTACGTGAATGAAAATAAACAAAGCCCGGGCAATTACTAGTCCCGGGCAAGACTTCGTACATGTGGAGGAAAAGATGAAGGGAAGGGTCGATTTTCAAATGTTCACA